TAGCTTTGGAATACAAAATCACCTTCTTTATACCAGACCTCATTCCTGTTCACTGGACTCTGCAAGGGGCAAGTGACTGAACCTGTGTTTTGGTTACACAGGGAAACCTCAGCACCTTCAGCACATTAAAAATACTGAATATACTGTCTCTTCTACTTCTAGGTCCACATCAAATTTACTTTCAGGTTTTGTTTAATTTGGGGAGGAAAGAGAAAAGGAAAGTAATCTTGGTGAGATCTTTTCTTATTGATCCATTTATTTATTCATTCATTTAATGAATCTACTATGTGCCACATGATTTGCTTGTAGTGAGCAGTGAGATGATAAATGATAAAAATACCATCTATCCATGCCCTTGTCAAGCTTGATGTCCAGCCAGAAGCCATCAGCATTTGGAAAAGTTTTTCTGTTATCACAGATGCCAGCCTCCCCCAGACCACATTGTGAGAAAGGTGAAATTTGACCTGGAGGCAATTTCACTCTTTTCCTTCCTCTGTATCAACCTTCCTCTGCTACCTCACTGGGCCTGGAACCCTGTGGGATCTACTGGTGGTCTCTGTTTCTATAAGGACATGACTGACCTCCCAGCTCCCTTCTCTGAATCCCACCTCCTCACGGTCTTGGATCAGAGGGTAACTGTCCTTTGCCATTAGGGTAGCCCTGGTGGGGAAGGAAGAAGACATGGGCTTACAGTCTTCCCAACCCTACTTTCCAAAAGCCTAAGCCCCAGAAAGGGAGAGCATTTGTCGGTGTAAACAAAACATCTTCGCTAGAAACAGGGAGAGAGAGGGGGGCTTCTCTCACACACCAGAAAGACGTTCTCCATGAGGAAGATAAAAGAGGAAGACAAGCAGTAATAGAAAGAGAAAAAACTCAATGAGGGTCCCTGTGGGCCGGATGAAGGAGGGCTTCACCATGACACATGCAGACCACGGGGTCCTGCCTGGTCTGATGACCCTCAGCTGTGAACAGTCCTGCGAACAGGGATGTCCAAGTGGGAAGAGGGTGACTCAAGTAGAATTAAGTTAAAAATTTTAGACCGGGAAGGGAGGAGCGGCAACATGGCAGCTTCCGGGGCTGGTGACCCTCTGGATGCTAAGCGTGGAGAGGCCCCGTTCGCTCAGCGTATCGACCCGACTGGGGAGAAGCTGACACCTGAGCAACTGTATTCCATGCGGCCGGCGCAGCTTGCCCAGCGGCAGAAGGTCCTACTGCTGCGGCGGACCCGGAACATCGAGACTGGCCTAGGCATCGGGGCCCTGGTGTTAGCTCTTTATGGTTACACCTTCTACTCCATTTCCCAGGAGCGTTTCCTAGATGAGCTAGAAGACGAGGCCAAAGCTGCCCGAGCCCGAGCGCTGGCAAGGGCGTCAGGATCCTAATCTGGATGGGTGTTGATCATGTCCAACCTGCTGGAGCCCCTTCACATGGTGGAGGATGCCCCATGACCCTGTAGAAATTGAATCCTGCTCACAACATTGTTGGCCTTCTTACTAACCTTGGGCCATGATTGATCCCAAGAAACCAGGGACTTAAGCATTTGGCCACTGTCAAAAGAACTTAAGCATTTGCCCACTGCATACTTGCTGTGTACAATGACTGAGCCCTTTCTGTAGTTTGTTTCCTTGAGAGGTGTGCATGCGACCGTGGCTTTTCCCAATGTTTCTGACTTTGTGGTTTACCCCCTTCACCTTCCAGGGATGTGATTGTTAAGAGGTTAGGTGAGGCAGCTCTGTGCAGTGTTTGAGCCTAAAATGGGATAGATAGGGTCAAATTGAGAATATAAACTGAGTCATTCTCCTGGAAAAAAAAATTTTTTTTACAGTCTGGTGAAGTAAGCCTGGGGCATCTTTCTGTACCCATTGAACACTAATTCCCCATTCTGCCTCCTCTTAACCCCCTTTCAACCTTCTATCTCTATGCATTTGACTCCTCCAGGTACCTCATACAAATGGAATCATATAGTCTTTGTCCTTTGTGACTGATTCATTTCAACTAGCATAATGTCCTCAAAGTTCATCTATGTTGTGGCATGTGTCAGAATTTCTTTCCTTTTGAAGGCTGAATAGTATTCCATCATATGCATCCACCATAATTTTTGTTTATCTATTGATCTGTTGATGGACTCAGGTTGCTTTCACCTTTTGACTATTATAAATTAGGCTACTATGAACATGAATGTACAAATATCTCTTCCAGTCCCTGCTTTCAATTCTTTTGGGCATATACCTAGAAGAAGAATTGTAAACTGTATGATAATTCTATGTTCAACTCTTTGAGGAGCCACCAAACTGTTTTTAACAGGGGTCGAACCATTTTACATTCCCACTGAGATTCCAATTTCTCCATATTCTCACCAACACTTGTCGCTTGTTATTTTGTGTGTGTGTGTGTGTGTTTGAATGTCATCCTAAAAAGTGTGAAGTGGGATCTCATTGTGGTTTTGATACGCATTTCCCTAATGATTAGTGACGTTCAGCATCTTTTTATGTGCTTGCTGGACATCTGTATATATTCTTTAGAGAAATGTCTACTCAAGTCTTTTGCCCATTTAAAAAATGAGTGAATTTTTTTTTTAAAGAAGTGGGGTCTTTTTATGTTGTCCCAGCTGGACTTGAACTCCTGGGCCCAAGTGATCCTCCCACCTCATCCTCCCAAGTAGCTGGGACCACAATGTAGGAGTTAATATATTCCAGATATTCTTTTTTTTTTTTTTGAGATGGAGTCTTGCTCTGTCGCCCAGGCTGGAGTGCAGTGGCATGATCTTGGCTCACTGTAACCTCCACCTCCTGGTTCAAGTGATTCTCCTGCCTCAGGCTCCCGAGTAGCATGGTAGCTGTGCCACCATGCCCAGGTAATTTTTGCATTTTTAGTAGAGATGGAGTTTCACCATGTTGGCCGCTGGCCCCGAACTCCTGACCTCAGGTGATCTGCCTGCCTCGGCTTCCCAAAGTGTTGGGATTACAAGCATGAGCTACCTCATCCAGCCTCCGGATATTGATTCTTTATCGATACAAGATTTACAAATATTTTATCCCATTCTGTGGGTTGCCTTTTCACTCTCTTGACAGTACCCTATTAGGCACAAAAGGTTTTTTTTGTTGTTGTTTGTTTGTTTGTTTGTTTTTGTAGAGATGAGGTCTCACAATGTTGCACAGGCTGGTCTTGAACTCCTGGGCTCAAGCAGTCTACCTGCCTTGGCCTCCCAAATTGCTGGGATTACAGGTGTGCACAAAAGTTTATAATTTTGATGAAATTCTATTTATCTATTTTCTCTTTTTGTTGCCTGTGCTTTTGGTGTAATATCTGAGAAATCATTGCCCAATCCAAGACATAAAGTTTTCCCTGGTGCTTTCTAAGAGTTTTATAGTCTTACTTTTAGGTTTTTGATCAAATTTGAGTTAATTTTTGTAAATGGTGTAAGGCAAGGGTTCAACTTGATTCTTTTACATGTGGATATCCAATTTTTCTAGCACCATTTGTTGAAGACACTGTCGTTTTCCCAGTGAATGCTCTGCAAACCCCTGTTGAAAGTCAGTCAACCAAATATGCAAGGATTTATTTCTGGGCTCTGTATTCTGTTCCATTGACATATTTGTATATCCTTATGCCAGTGCTGCATTGTTTTGCTTTTGTGGTAGCTTTGTAGTATATTTTGAAATCAGGAAATGTGAGAGTTCAAATTTTCTTTCTTTTTCTCGATTGTTTTGGCTTTGTGGGGCCCCTTGAGATTTTATATGAACTTTAGGATGAGTTTTTCCATTTTTACAAAAATCACTATTAAGATTTTAATAAGAATTACACTGAATGGAGATTGCTTTGGTTAGTATTGTCATCTTAATAATGTCAAGACTTATCATCTCTGAACAAAAGATGTCTTTCCATTTATTTAGTCTTCTTTAATTTCTTGTAGCAATGTTCTGTAATTTTCAGTGTACAAGTTTTTTGCTTCCTTGGTTAAATTTATTCCTAAGTATTTTATATTTTTTTTATGTTAGTGTAAATGCAATTTTTTTCTTCATTTTCTTTTTTAAATTGCTCCTTGTTAGTGTATAGAAATGTTACTGATTTTTTGTATGTTGATTTTGTATCCTAAACTTTGCTGTATTTGCTTGTTATTAATAGCCATAACAGGTTTTGTGTGTGTCTGATCTTCTGCATATAAAATCATGTCATCTGTGAACAGAAGTGGTTTTATTCTTCCTTTCCTTTCTTCCTTCTTTTTCTTGCCTAATTGCTTCAGTTAGAACTTACAGTACTATGTTGAACATACGGCCAAAAATGGAAACCCTCGTTTTGTTCCTTATCTTAGGCTAAAAGCTTCCAGTCTTTCACCATGGAGTATGATGTTGGTGGTGCATTTTCATATATGGACTCTACTATGTTGGGAAAATTTCTTCTTACTCCTTATTTTTTGGGCATTTAAAAAAAGGGTGTTGAATTTTGTCAAATGCTTTTTCTTCATCAACTCAGATGATCATGTGGGGTTTTGTTGTTTTTTTCTCTTCATGCTATTAATGTAGTGTATTACATTGATTTAGTATCATATGCTGAACCATTTTTACATTCCAAGAATAAACCCCACTTGGTCATAGTGTATATTCTTTTTAATATGTTGCCAAATTTGGTTTGCTAGTACTGTGGTAGGCACTTTTGTATCAATATTCATAAGGAATATTGGTCTGTAGTTTCTTTTCTTGTAGTTTTGTTTTCTGGCTTTGGTATCAAAAGTAATGCTGGCTTTATTGAATGTTAGGAAGTGCTTTCTCTTCTTTGGGAAGAATTTGAGAAGGATTGGTGTTAATTCTTCTTTAAAAATGAGTAGAATTCACCAGTAAAGCCATCTGCTCCTAGGCTTTGCTTTTTTTCGTTTGTTTCATTTTCAAAATGCGTCACTTTATTTTCCTTATAAGGCAGCCACACATTAAGCATGTGACAGTCACCTGATTTCTTCAGTGAGCCCCCTGGCTTCCACGAGCTTTCCTGGAGCCTATGGCTAGAAGAGTCCTGAGATTTCAAATATTAAAGCTTTCTCCACAGCCACAAGTTCCTTTGATGTTTGGGTGATTGAACACAAACTCACTGGATAATTTGTCTTCAATATAGTCCATTTCTGTTCCTAGAAGTGTTAACTGTGCTTTCTTTTCGATGAATACTCTGACTCCATCCTGAATAACTTTTTCATCAGAATCTCCTTTTGTCTTTGTATATTCTAGAGTATAAAAAAGGCCATTACAGCCCCTGGTTCGGACACCAACATTTACACCTACATGCTCAGGCTTATCTTTAAAGTTGTTTTATCTTGTTTACTGCTGAAGGCGTCAGGATGAAGGCAGCCCTGGTGGGCTGCAGTTTGCTCTTTCTAGTTTTTTTAGTTTTCCTAGTTTTTCTAGTTTTTTAGTTTTTTAGTTACGCGGACTAAGGAAGCCGACGTCTTTGCTGTCCTGGAGCCCTGGTGCCTCGGAGCCCGGCTGCCTCAGCTTGTCTCCATGGACACAGCGGGCGCACTCCTGGGCTTTTCTTTCTTGGAGGTTTTTGATAAGTGATTCAATATCCTTCCTAGTTATAGATCTAATCAGATTTTCTATGTCTCTGTGAGTCAATTGTGATAGATTTTATGTTTTATAGGAATTTTTAAATTTCACTACTTTATCCAGTCTGTTGGTGTATAATTGTCCATCGTATTCTCTTTTATTCCTTTTCATTTCTGTAAAATTGATGGTAATGTCCCCACTTTTATTTCTGACTTTAGTTATTCGAATCTTCTCTCTTTTTTCCTTAGACAATGTAGCTAAAGTTTCTCAATGTTGTTGTTTTTTTGAATAATCAGCAATTAATTTTGTCTATTTTTCTGCTTTTTAAAAAAATTTCTACTCTAATCTTTATTATTTATTAATTATGTTCCTTTTGACAGCTTTGGTTTTAGTTTATTCTTCTTTTTATAGTTTCTTAAGGCATAAAGTTAGTTTGTGAATTTGAGATTTTTCTTTTTTAATGTAAGCATTTGAATCTACGTGTTTTTTCCTAGCATCACTTTTACTGAATCCCATAAGGGATTTTTAATTATAATTTTTAAATTTTAGATGTGCAGGTTTGTTACAAGGGTATTTGTGTGATGCTGAGGTTTGGGCTTCTACTGACCCTGTTATCCAGATAATAAACACAGCACCCAATAGGAAGCATTTCAGCCCTTGCCCCCTCTCTTCTTCTCTCCTTTTGGAGTCCCTAGTGTCTGCTTTTTCCATCTTTATGTCCATGTGTACTCAAGGTTTAGTTTCCACCTGTAAGTGAGAACATGAGACATTTGGTTTTCTGTTTCTGCATTAATTCACTTAGGATAATGGCCTCCAGCTGCATCCATGTTGCTGCAAAGGATATGATTTTATTCTTTTTAATGGCTGCATAGTATTCCATAGTGTATATATGCTGCATTTTCTTTATCAAATCCACGATTGATGGGCACCTAGGTTGATTCTGTCTTTGCTATTGTGAATAGTGCTGTGATGAATGTATGAGTGCAGGTGTCTTTTTGGTAGAATGATTTATTTTCCTTTGGGTATATACCCAGTCATAGGATTGCTGTGTCAAATGGTAGTTATATTTTTAGTTATTTGAGAAATCTCCAAACTGCTTCCCTCAGTGGCTGAACTAATTTGCATTCCTGCCAACAGTGCATTTGCAGTCCCTTTTCTCTGCAGCTTCACCAACATCTGTCATTTTTTGAAGTTTTAATAATAGTCATTCTGACTGATGTGAGATGGTGTCTCATTGTGGTTTTGATTTGCATTTCTCTGATGACTAGTAATATTGAGCATTTTTTAATATGTTTGTTGGTCACTCATATGTCCTCTTTTGAGAAGTGTCTGTTCATGTCATTTGCCTACTGTTTAATAGGGTTATTTGTATTTTGCTTGTTGATATGTTTAAGTTCCTTATAGATTCTGGATATGAGTCCATTGCCAGATGCATAGTTTGCAAATATTTTCTTCCATTCTATAGGTTGTCTGTTTACTTTGTTGATGGTTTCTTTTGCTGTGCAGACTCTTTAGTTTACTGAGTTCTCACTTGTCAATTTTTGTTTTTGTTGCAATTGCTTTTGAAGACTTAGTCATACACTCTTTGCTAGGACAATGTCCAGAAGGGTATTTCCTAGGTTTTCTTCCAGGATTCTTATAGTTCAAGGTCTTACATTTAAGTCTTTAATCCATATTGAGTTATTTTTTGTATATGGTGATAAATAGGTGTTCAATTTAACTCTTCTGCATATGGTTAGCCAGTTCTCCCAACACCATTTATTTAATAGCAACTTTTCCCCATTGCTTACTTTGGTTGATTTTATTTAAGATCAGTTGTTTGTAGTTGTGTAGTTTTATTTCTGTGTTCTCCATTCTATTTGTTGGTCTATGTGTCTATTTTTGTGCCAGTACCATGCTGCTTTGTTTACTGTAACCATATATAGTTTGAAGTTATGCATCCAATAGGTTTTGATATGTTGTGTTTCATTATCATTTATCTCATTTCTTTACTACTTTCTTTTGTATTTAGTTGATTTTTTGTAGTGATACATTTTGATTCCCTTCCCATTTACTTTTGTGTATATTCCATAGATATTTTCTTTGTGGTTACCATATGTGGTTACCATATATAACCTCCTAAAGTTATAACAATCCAATTTAATTACCACAAACTTAACTTCAATCACACACAAAAAGTACTCCTACGTAGCTCCATCCTGCCCTTCATGTCATTAAGGTCACAAATCATAAATGACATCTTTAAACATTGTGTGCCCAATAACATGGATTTATAATTATTTTATCCCTTCTTTTTTTAATCCCAGTAGAAAATAAGTTCAAAATTATAGAAATACTGGCTTTATACTTGTCCATGTATTTACATTTACAGAGATCTGTAGTTCTTCATATGGCTTTGAGTTACTGTATAGTTTTCTTTAATTACAACTTCAAGGGCTCCCTTTAGCATTTCCCATAGGGTAGGTAATGAACTCCCTCACTTTTTGTTTATCTGGGAATGTCTTAATTTCTCATTTTTGAAAGACAACTTTTATGCATATAAAATTCTCAGTTGACAGGTCACTTTTCTTTCAGCACTTTAAGCTATCTGCCCATTGCTTCCTGAGATCCAAAATTCCTAATGATAATTCTGCTGATAATCTTAGGGAGCATTCTTTGTCTGTTATGAGTTGCTTCTCTCTTGCTACTTTCAATATTCTTTCTTTGTCTTTTGGCAGTTGACTATAATGTGTCTTGGTACAGTTCTCTTTGAGTTTATCCTACTTAGAGTTCGTCGTTCGTCAGATTTCGTGAATTTATGCATTCATGTCTGGCATCAAATTTGGGGAGTTTTTATCCATTATTTTTTCAGTTTTCTTTCTTTCCCTTCCTTTCTGTCTTCTCCTTATGGGACTTCCACAACGTGTGTTTGTCTGCTTAATGGTGTCCTACAAGTCTCTTAGGCTCTGTTCACTTTTCTTCATTCCTTTTTCTTTCCATTCCTCAGACAAGATAATTTCAATTGTCTTATCTTCGAGTTCATATATTTTTCTTGTGCCTGTTGAAATTGAATCTGCTGTTAGATACATCTAGTGAAATTTTCATTTCAGTTGTTGTGCTTACAGCTCCAGAATTTCTGTTTGGTATTTTTTAAAATTTTGATCTCTGGTTATATTGTCATTTTGCTCATCTATCATTTTTCTGATTTCCTTTAGTGGTTTGCCCATGTTTTCCTTTAGTTATTTGAACATCTTTAAAATAGTTGTTTTAAGATTTTTGTGTAGTAAGTCTGATGTCTGGGTTTCCACAGGGATGGTTTCTGTCAATATATTTTTTTTTCATTTTTTACTTGAGTGAAACATGTTTTCCTGTTTCTTTGTATACCTTGTGTTTTGTGTAAACATTGAGCATCTCTCTGTTACAATGTAGTAAGTCTGAAAATCAGAATCTTTTCCTTCCCCAGAGGTTACTGTTTTTTTTTTTTTTTTTTTTTTGTAAAAATTGTTGAAGCCTGTGACATCCATTTCTGAGAGTTTTTCAGACTGTTTCCCAAGACTATTCGTTGTCATATGTAATCACTGAAGTCTCTATTCCTTTAGTTTGTGTTCAGCTAATGCTTTGACAGAGATTTCCTTGAATGCTAAGGGCTCTTGTGGTCTTTTCAGATTGTCTCTGTGCTAGAGCACTCTTTCAAGACTAGCGAGGCTTATTCAGAGCCTAAGGATCAGCTTCAGGTGAAAGCCTAAGGCTTTCTTCGGACTTTTTGAGCCTGTGTCTTGCCTGGGCATGCACATGGCTTTCTAAATTCTCTCATAACGGCTGCTTTTGACTGTCCTAATTTCCCAAAGAGTCTTACTCCAGTTTCTCATCTGGACCTTAGATGGTCTACTCTATGGCTCCACTCAAAATCTCTTGCCCAGACCATGAACCTATAGTGATCTTGCAGCTTTTATTAACAGTGTCTACTTATTTTTCCAGCTGTGTTCTGAGTAATGTAACAGAGACTAGTGAGTCAGTCCTTCACTTATCTCCCAGGCAGTTTAAAAGAGATGTGTATAATAATTTGCAAGTAGTATCTGCTCTGATTCTTCCAGTTTGCAAGGAGGATATTGGAACAAGGCTGGCTGCTGTGTTTCAAGACAAAGACTGCTGCCACACTGGGGAGAGGATGGGGCCAGGGTGAGTTAAAACACAAAACTTCCCTGCCATTTTGAAGATGACTTTTTCTTGAATGGGCCGTCACTTGATTGTTGTAAACATTTGACCGTTTTCCAGTGCTGTGACAAAATTGGTTCAGAAAGTTTCTAGGTTTTAAAAAATGTTTCTGTGGAGAAATGCAAATTAGGAGCTTCCTAGTCTCTCATTTTGCTGATATTCCAGCGTCAACAAAATCTTTACTCGTGTATTAACACATAGATATTGTCATATCTATTTTGCCTGAACGCCTCCTCAGATCTTTGTGGAATGAAGTAGAGAATAAACATGTAAACACTTGGACAGACTGCTATGTATCCTGGGACCATCTGCAAGGACACTCCACTGCAGGTGCCTGATCAGACTTCAAACTGATATTTTTGCTGAGAAGTTGAAAGAGGGAGATTGGAAAGGGGCCCAAAGTCCTTCTGGAGAAAAACTATTGTGAGGGCATGTCTCTCCTTTCCTTAGAAACTTTACTCAAAACCATTTTAAATTCTCCACAGCTAGTTTACCAATCTGGTGGAAACTTCAATTTTAGTGTTATTATTTTTTACCCATTTGCGGTGTAACACACATGTAAGTTATGAAGTGGGCAGAGGGAGGATGACTAATTATTTTTCCTTGTCCAAAAGGGCAGAGAAATTCCCCCCTCACTCTGTCACTCTCCCACATTGATCAATCCCCTCTTTACCTCCCACTCTAAGAAACTCAGTACCTGGCCTCATTATTCCCTCTAAGGAGCTCGCAGTTTGGTGAACTCCTTCCAACACCCTCACAATCTCTTGTGAGGCAGGTCTTTCCACCCACCCTTCCT